TAGTTACAGACTACCACCAGGGATTATTCATTTATTTATTTATTATCTATTTTGTATATATTAACTATTATTTTTTCTCCTGTTTTCTCCTAGAAGGATGGATTGACACTATACCTATATGGTACCTATCTAGTATTGGTTATCCATATGTAGTCAATATACTATTATGATTTTATCCATCTTCATGTATATATACCAATTTATGTCCAGCATTTCATTATCTCTAATTGATTCATTAAATATGTTCCTTCCATTTGGAACATTCATATATTGCTTTTATGTATTTTTACATTTACCGGTCTTATGTATCTGTCTACATTTTATGAGACTTTATAAATATTGTTTTTACCCTAGTGGCAATGATTTGCATTTTATGTATATGTATGTATCATTTTATGCAGGTACAAATACTGTGTTTATTAGTATAGAATATATTGGTTTTAACACCTAAATGTGATTGATAATTAGGCAATGTTATGTCTATTATGTCTATTATGTCTCTGATGAAGTAGGGCCCATTCCCTACGAAACGCGTAAGACAGGCATTCCAGCAACACACGGGATCAGACGCATGTACCAGCAGTACCACTAATCTGCACACGCAGGACCTGTTTGGAAAGTACCGCCACCGGAGGCATCTGTCCTGCACGTCCCCTGAAGTGAGGCTCCTGCTCGGGACGTGCTCACAGACACAAGCCATCCTCACCGGCAGCTGTATATTGAATCATCACAATCCATATCCATCCTTAACAATCTGAAGGTCCTTGCTGTTATTTTTCAATGCTTCAGTCTGGTAATGCATTTCTGAATCTAGTGTGACCTGTATTTTTATATTTAACTTTTTCCAAAGTTATTTTATTATATTCAATAAACTGGCATTTTTTTCTTATATGAAGTGATCCAGTTTTATGCTTCAGTTTTCCAGCGATATATTGTTTTCATTTTTATTGCCTAAAGCTAACAGTTCCCTGTACTGTATAGCTTATTTTTTACTTCTATCTTTTACTAAGTATATTATTTGCAACAGGTATCATTTATCCCTCATGTTGTTTGGGATATAGACACCAGTTTCATACATATTTTTTGGTCATCCAGCAGAGAATTTGGTCTCTCATCTTTCCCCTTTTTGCATTTTTGTATTTTATTTATATATATATATATATACCTTTTTTTTTAATTTTATTATTTTTTTTTTTACCCCCCTTATATAGCACTGCTTTGCATGTTTGCACACTCTTAAAGGACATTTAAAGGTATAGCAGCATTCTCTTTGTATTCTTGCACATTTAAAGGGATATCCCGTTTATTTGAGATCTCCACTCATAGCACTTTTACTCACATTTTTGCACATTTATAGGGATACTTTGTCCATTCCAGATTTAAAGGCATAGTACCATATATATATTTTTATATTTATATATTTCTTTTTTTTTTTTATATTTATCTCTATGTATTAGTATTTTAGCCATTAGTCACCTAGCCAGCTCCTGGTATTCCCACTCTTCTAGAGAGTTCTTTTCCCTTGTTCTATATAGGTTTTTAGTGAATCCCTATCATTACCAGTTTTCGAGCAGCTTAGTGCTAGTCTGTCTCCCTCTCTCCTGTGTGGTATATTAGGTACACCAGAACTGTTCAACTGTATTGTTATGACTCAACTTTGACTTGTAATTGAATTTTTAACTATCCACTGAGCTACAGAAGATGCGGTTTTGATAACTCAATACTGAATAATGCTGGCTGTTATGAATGCTGGTATATCAGATAACCAGTCATATTCGGTTCCTCCCAAACTGCCAAGCAGGGCTGGCCTTAGGTGTTCCAGCGCCCTGTGCGAGCTAATCTTGTGGCGCCCCCCCCCCCCACCTAAACATACACAAAGAGGAAAACAGTCTTTGTAACAAACTGTTTTTTAATTACAGATAATTTAAGTGCAAACAAGTACAATAATAAATAACTGGATTGACTGGTAACAATAATGTATATTAAATATATTAAATACACAGAACTCTCCACGATACTATAGACCTATCAGGTCCACTCCGACACCCACCCCGCACAACATTACATGAGAACCCGGGGGACACTCTAGCTACCTGCTCCCCTCAGGGATCTACACGTGAACACAAATAGCCCTCATTACCTACCGATTAGCACTATTCCCCTATACCAAACACACAAAAGGGCGCAATATTCTTAAGCCACGCAATTGTATGTAACTGCCTCCGCTTAGACCGCACCAGCCGAAGTGGCGATGCTTAATATCGACATTACACAAACTAACAAGTTAATGATATGGAAGGAGAGCACACAGCGATCCCCCACAGCTAGGTCAGGCACTGAATAGTCACTAAGCCCCCTCGGCATATGCCCTGACCAACCTCATAATGCCGATTAACCCCCCCCCTACGTATAAAGTGGGTGCAGGGTTGGTCGGCAACCTATTGTACATGCTCCACCAATTATGATCAGGTTTATTTCTGTTGATAATGTTTGTCTTTGTTAGAAACATAGCCGACCGAACCTGTATTGCCTTTCTGCTCCATAAGCATAGTTGATAGGCTCACAGGAACTATACCGGCTGCTCATGAGGTTATCTTGTTATCTAATATAAAAATGCATGGTGTTGGTGTTCCAAAATATTTTTTGATTACTCCAGCACTCTTCTGGTCCTCCAAATCCATAAGGGCCCTTCGTTTTCGATTCTGAGCACCTGACAGTTTTTTGGGACCCATAATGCTGCTACACGATACAATAAAAAAATATATATTTAAAAGAGAGGCCCTTTTAAGTATAGATACAAAAGAAATGCAAGATTCGCAGCAGCAGTGTACAGATAATATGAATTTCCTAAATGTAGTATGCCAACATTTGTGCCAAATAAAGTATAGATAAATAAATAAGCATTGCAGGTATTCATCAAATGAATAAGACATCCAAACCTTGTATTTCCAGGTATAGATTAAATAACATAACACATGGAAACATAACATTACATGTGTAGAACAACTAAACATAAAAATCACAACATAAAAATCACATGCTAACACAGTAGTGAAGATATAGATCAACTATAGATCAGCTTCAATGTCACTGTCGGGGGTCTTTGCACATTTGGCAAATTCCCAGACAGTGACAGTGCCACTTTAATAGTATAATCCACAAAGTCAGTTTATGTATTGTAGAAACAAGAGCAATGTTGTCAGTACACTATATTTAACCATTTTACAACACTAAGCATGTATAGCCTCTCCCTCATTTCTTAAACCCACGTCTTTGTTTGGCCCCCTCTAGACAATTTCAGGCACACAATATGCCGCCTTCACCCCCTTCACCAAAACCCTTGGCCACTTCTTCAATAAAACCCCTGCCCCCTTCATCAGACCCTGCCCCCCTTCATCAGATACTGCCTCTATTCATCAGACCCTGTACCCTTCATCAATCCCCAGGCTGCACCCCTTCATCAACCCTTTGCACCCCTTAATCAGACCCTGCCTCCCTTAATCAAACCCCTGCCCCCCTTAATCATAACCTGGCATCCATGCCCAGTCCCTTGCCCCCCTTAATTAGACCCAGTGTCACCCATAGCCAGTCCCAGTCCCCTGTCCCCCTTAATTAGACCCAGTGTCACCCATAGCCAGTCCCAGTCCCCTGTCCCCCTTAATTAGACCCAGTGTCACCATAGCCAGTCCCAGTCCCCTGTCCCCCTTAATTAGACCCAGTGTCACCCATAGCCAGTCCCAGTCCATTGCCCCCTTAATTAGACCCAGTGTCACCCATAGCCAGTCCCAGTCCCCTGTCCCCCTTAATTAGACCCAGTGTCACCCATAGCCAGTCCCAGTCCCCTGCCCCCTTAATTAGACCCAGTGTCACCCATAGCCAGTCCCAGTCCCCTGCCCCCTTAATTAGACCCAGTGTCACCCATAGCCAGTCCCAGTCCCCTGCCCCCCTTAATTAGACCCAATGTCACCCATAGCCAGTCCCAGTCCCCTGCCCCCCTTAATTAGACCCAGTGTCACCCATAGCCAGTCCCAGTCCCCTGCCCCCCTTAATTAGACCCAGTGTCACCCATAGCCAGTCCCAGTCCCCTGCCCCCCTTAATTAGACCCAGTGTCACCCATAGCCAGTCCCAGTCCCCTGCCCCCCTTAATTAGACCCAGTGTCACCCATAGCCAGTCCCAGTCCCCTGCCCCCCTTAATTAGACCCATGGTCACCCTTACCAAGTCCCCTGCCCCCCTTAATTCGACCCTGTATTTTATGAAAAGATTTTTGGATTAAAAATAAAAAAATAAGAACAGGTACTTACTTTGAAGTCTGCTGCTTCCTCCCTGTCTGCAGAGCACCGGCCGCCGCCCTCACACATTGAGCGGATCCTTCCGCGGCTCTCTGTGATGGCGCAGCACTTGCACGCTGCGCCCCCAAGCTCCTCCTCCACGCTCCGGAAACCGCAGTTCAGCTCACAGACAATCTCGGGCCGGCCAGTGACAGAGCGACTGCGAGCTGTGTCGGCCGCCCGGCGCCCCTGTTGCCATGGCACCCTGTGCGGCCGCACAGCTCGCACACCCCAAAGGCCGGCCCTGCTGCCAAGAGCTGAGTGATTATAGCTTGCAGTTCGGGTATCAAGATGAATACTCTCCAGCTAGAATGCAGCATAGAAGAAGTCTTCCCCAGCAGTCAATCATATACCCAAACATCAGGCCGGCTTTTTATGGAAGTACCCAGGCACGGGGTTTACAATAACATATTCCAGGGGCATTCCCCACTGGACCTGAGAGGGCACAGGGACAAATTACATACTGTAGTTACATTGGCTCTCAGGTCCAGGACATTCCCGCATAGAATACAATAATGCTTCCCCTTCATTTAGGAGATAATTGAGTCAAGTATTATACTCAACTCAATTATCTTCAAACACAAAAAACACATTTTCACAAAACCCCAAAAGTGCCTTAAACCCCATTTGAACCCCACAAAAGTCATCCCCTGATAGCCCCGATCTGGAGGACCAACATATCCAAAAATCACCCACATCAGTTCGGGGTTTAGGAGTTCCATGGAAGTCATAATTTGACCGACCGCACACAAGGCTTCTGCCCAGATAGCGTTCCATGAAATCAGGCTGTGTGGTCGGTCTCTTTCGGGAAGTCCAAAAACCGAACAAATCCACAAACTGTTTCCCTGGCTTATAGGTAGCGTTTGTTCCCCTAGTTTGTGGGAACAAACCTACCGAACAGTGCTCTCCTGGCTGGTCGGTGAACAGAAGCAGGCGTTTGCGAAGTTTGACCGGCGTTCGGGAAGTCGAATGTCCAATTTTAGTTCCAGACACTCGACAACCAAGTCCCGCTGCATCTGTTCGTGCGACAAAATGGCCACAAAGAGAGAGCACTTAATTCACCGTTTCCTTTGAAGTTAATGAGCCAGGGGGGTGGTCGTTGTTCGGTAGTTTCAACTAACGAACGGGGAAAATTCAAAATATCGAACAAACAGGGTAGTTTCTTCACACTGGCTTTTAAAGTTGAGATTTGAAGGGGAGAAAGAAGGGGAATAGAGAGATAGTAGATGGGGAGAGACAGACACAGGGAAAGGGGGGAGAAAGAGACAGAGGGGAAGAGAGAGACACAAGGGGAGGGGGAGAAAGAGGCAGAGGGGGAAGAGAGAGACTGGGAAGGCATGGACAGAGGAGCAGTGAGGGGGAGAAATAAACATATAGAGGAACTGGGGGGGGAGACAGAAAGGCACACAGAGGGGCTGTATATATCACTGGTGGATCCAGGGGGCAACTGGCAATTGCCCCCCTCCCCCCCAGTGCAGGGCTGGCACTGTCCAAGCGCCATATGCTTTCACGGACCGGAGGGGAGATTAGAAATCTCCCAACCCGTTCCGCAGGCACCATGACTACTTACTCTGGGAGCGGGTCCCGGCACTCCTGGCACCATAACCACTATACAGAGCAGTAGTGGTTATTGTGCATGGATTATTTCTTTAAATAATCTATAAGTGCCCCTCCCGAGATCAAGCTCTGGATCCGCCACTGGTATATATATATCATGTATATTAATGTGTGTGTATACTTTTTTATATATATATATATATATATATATACCTATTATATTTACACATATATATCAATGTACATTTATATATGCATAATACACAGAGAAATGTCATTAATATGTACCATATGTAATGAGCAGATATTGGCCCAGTCTTTTTGCTAGGTGCATACTCCAGCACAATAACATGTTTAAAGTGAAGAGCACACCCACAGGACTTCAAAATAAACAAGATAACGTAATTTTTTACAGTTGTGCCCTACATACATTCACCATTTCAGTCCCATTACCAAGCTTTCCTTAATATGTCATGGTAGTTGGACTGAAACATTGGTTATATGCAAAGGCACGTCTGCTTAAAATAAATCTGCACTCTTGTTTTTTTTTCTTACGCCTATATGTGGTATTTTTCACGTTGGAGTAATAATTTTTAATTTTAAGTTATCTTTTCTAACTCTGTATCTGCACACTATGCTGGCGCGACGCATTATGGGGCTGGTAAATAATTTTTTTCCGGCCCTGACTAACGTGCAATATGGTTGCATTTTCTGTAGCAAGAGGCAGGCTACAAACAACAGAAAATAGGCAGAAGTAGAAAGGGAAGTTTAGGGCTAACATAAAGAGTGATCAGAGTAAACAAGGTTTATAATATTCAGTATGCTGGAACATAGGAAAATTAAAAGAAAGCCTGTGATTTTATAAAGGGAAAAAGAAGACTATAAGGGCCAATAGCTTTTAATTACCATACTGTTTCTAAAATTTAAAAAAAGCATGCAGAGATTGCCACTGATTCAAAATTAGAATGTCATTGTTACCACCAATCAGCTGTATGCTCAGTTATATTTAGGTTTTATCCAAAGTGCTTATTTATTTTAGAGTTAGACAAATGATCGCAGCTTCTGATGAGCCCAATATGTTCTGCATTACATGGGCTTTGTGTGACCAGGCAAAAATACAGTGCAGTTACACATGTGCGTGCAGCTACTGTTTAACTACTTGCTGAGTCCAGTGCCTGGGGGTGTCTAGAGCGAATTCCCCATGCAGTTCCAGGACCCCAGTCAAGCCACGGTGACTGAGGGCTAGAGTGCTGAGGTTTGCCCCCTGTTCCAGCTAGGAAGCGGTCCTTGGTGGAGGTACCCAGCAAAAATACAGTGCAGTTACATATGTGCGTGCAGCTACTGTTTAACTACTTGCTTCCTCCAGAACTAATTTATTAGGAAAAATATATGGATCTAGAGTCAGTTTCCTATGCTTTATAGGTTCCATGTCCCACTTAATAAATAAATTACTAGTGCAAAGCAGGCCAAATCTACTGTAAATATAGACCACTGCAATAACCTTCAATGACAACCTATTGGTTGTATTTTTTTCTTTATGCTTCCTAACGCATTTTGGTACCTGACTTGTATATTTATGTGACTATTGTTAGAAATGACTAATTGGGTTTGATTAGCTTCATCATTAATATTCTGTCCATAATTTAACATGCTTCAATAAAATACCCTAAAGTTGTATAGTGATTAGATTTCAGGAATATGTGTTTTGCAATTAAGTTCCTCTTGATTTTGATATGCAGATTAAGAAATGGTGGTCTCATTTAAAGAGAAAAAAAATTGCCCTTATTAACTCAGCAGCATACTCTGAAGATTAGGCAAGAAAGCCTACATTCGCTTTCTGTATGTGCTAGCTAAATGTATTTCAATCAAGTCTATGTGGGCAAATCAGATGTGATTAGTTTAAGTTCACAGTCATCCTATCTAAATGAATAATGTGTCACCTAACAGTGCAAAAATGTGATTAATAGTTTATCAGTTAATTAAAAATGATGTTTCTCTTTTTTATTATTTTTTTAGAGGAATGCAATGAAGGTATTATACGTGTAAATCATAAATGCTAATTATTTTTCACCTAATTCGGTTCTTTATTTTCCATTCTGAATCCTCGAAATTGGAATTTATATCTCCTTGTGATTTGATTTATGGTGTTAAGACAGATTAGTTAATGTTTCTCAGAAAATGTTTGGAGCTTTACTTAAAAAATAATAAAAGCAAAAATAGATCTTAATTTTCTTGATTCACGGAGAAAGAGCGCACGTAGCTGTTTTAGTTAAACAATTCAGTTCCTATTTATATGACTATAATAAAAAATAAAAAAAAAAACAAGATAGAACAAGATTAGATAGATATAGTGTGACAAACTCCCCTTTCCAATTGAGTTTGCCAAGAGCTCCTGGAGGAGCCTGCTTGCCAGCCACCTGCCCACAGACTACGGACCCTGTAAAATGTAATATAAAAAAGTCTCTATTCGTGTATTTGGATTAACCGGAGACCACCCTGGAGCTTGTTAAGCCTAATTGCTACTTTGTAGCAATTTCCACCGCAGTGCTCTAAATGTTCGTCTGGGTGGCCACATTGCCTATGGACGACCACGGGGTGGCGGCCATCTTGTTCGCATGAACGCAGGCAGCGGTGTTTGGTCGTCGAGTTCATGCCCCTTGCATGGGGACCTGCATATTAGGCCAGTTGTGGCTGCCAATAAACATATTCCAGCTTGTACTCCCAGAACTATGTGTTGTCTGGTTACTGGGAGGGGAAAGGGCTACTCTTTAATCACTGTTCCAGTGTGGAGGATTCAACGGGGAAAGTCCGTGTAAGGACTAGAGCTCCCAGGACTGAATGTCTTCCAGTGCCTGGGGGTGTCTAGAGTGAATTCCCCATTCGGCTCCAGGAGGGAGCGGTTCCAGGACCCCAGTCAAGCCACGGTGACTGAGGGCTAGAGTGCTGAGGTTTGTCCCCTGTTCCAGCTAGGAAGCGGTCCTTGGTGGAGGTACCCAGCCAGGGGTACAGAGAGCTCCGTTACAGATAAATGTGACTGAACTAAGTCAAATTTGTCTTGTTGAATGTATTTATATATGTCTTGTCCACCCTTTGCACAGCACTGTGGAATATGTTAGCACTAAATAACGATAATAGAAATAATGATAGAACAATACAGGGGCAATATTCTAGAAAGGGTAAAGGTGAGCTACTGATCTCAGTCACTGTATTTCTGAGTGAAGGTCCATTATGGATTTTTACTTGCCTTGGAGAAGATAATAATAATAATTCTTCATTTGAAACACAGAATCAGTCACACCACTATGTAGAAATTATACTTTATTCATCCTTTTATGTAAATAACAATCCTTTTATAAGATAACCCACAGTGTCGTTTTGTTTGATGCCAGGCCCGATGAACTCAAATGCAGTGACACTAGGTTAAGGATCTCGATTTGAATCCCTGTTAACCTTACATTTTGCAAATATATGTTAATTCATATATGTTAATGCTGCTTAGCTAATAATAGTAGGCTCTCTTTCTAATAAAGACGTGAAACTCAGTTGTAGTTTTGTATGCAAGCACTTTCCCACAAAGGACAACATATAGTACCCTAGCATGGTAGTTATGATTGCAGAATAGATCATATTATTCCAATCTATATCCACAGGACTGAGTTTACAAGCTGCAAGGAACACATTACCACCAGAAAGCCAGGATGAATGCAAGCTAGGAAAGCCATCCTACATGTTTAAAGGGACACTCAAGAAGAATGTGTCATTTTATTTTACTTTTTAATTTAAAAAATGTACAGAATTCAATAGAAATTGTCACTTTTCTAAATTAGTCTTGTTAGACCCCATTGGCTGTCAAACAGACAATAGGCAATGTTACTTTCTGGTTGTTAAGCTCAGTGGAGCAAGACTCAAGAGGCAGCAATTGCCCAAATCACCTGCCTTGCAAAGATTTCTCATTGAGCTGAATTGGGAAGTCTGTGATTGGACAGTCACAGAAAGTCTGTGCTTTAGAATGGGAGGGCTTGCCAATGCTGCAGACAAGAGATTTGCAGCTTTTGCAAGCTGTTTTTGGATATAACCCTAATGTAAAAATGCTTAATTAAATGCATACATATTTTCATTGGCGGTATGTTTACTAAACAGTGAAATTGTATTTCTTTAATTTGGATAGTGGAGTGTCCCTGTACACAGTTTAGTAACAATGTTACCACTGAAAGCTAGCTCACTTTGCCCAATACAGACTCTGGGCAGATCTACATCTTATAAGATGAGATATATATATATATATCTATATATATATATATATATATTTATACACACGCACACATTATATATATATATATATATATATATATATATATATATATATATATATATATACACACACACACGCACACTCAATATATTTAGGGTTAGTTAGAAATGAAACAGATCTGGCCGAAACAACTAAGATTTTAACTGATTGAAGGCCAGCCTGCTAATGATGAAATATATATGACCAGTGAATTAAACACAATCTTCGTTCAGGTAACCATATTTTTTAATGAACAGTCCATTTCACAAATGGCAATATGGTAACCATAAACCGTTTATCAACAAGTTTGTAAATAGACATATGTTCTATTACTCTATTCATCAAATTGCTCTACTCAATACCATGGAATAATAAGAATATAGAAACATAGAATGTGACGGCAGATAAGAACCATTCAGCCCATCTAGTCTGCCCAATTTTCTAAATACTTTTATTAGTCCCTGGCCTTATTTTATAGTTAGGGTAGCCTTATGCCTATCCCACGCATGCTTAAACTCCTTTACTGTATTAACCTCTACCATTTCAGCTGGAAGGCTATTCCATGCATCCACTACCCTCTCAGCAAAAGTAATACTTCCTGTTATTATTTTTAAACCTCTGCCCCTCTAATTTAAGACTATGTCCTCTTGTTGTGGTAATATAATGCTCTATTACCAAATTATGCATTATGTTTTATCTATATACAGTATGTGTTAGCTGGGGCAAAATTTAATATTAATGTTGTAACGGACCGTTTTGCCCAAAAGAGGTTAAAAACCGTTTAGGTGATATTCCCCCTTTTCAGCTGCACACAGGGCCAGATTAAGAGCCCAGTGGGCCTGGTGCTGACAATTATGACGGGCCTAATTACAGAATCATATCGACCAAAAACAGTAAAACACTCCCAAGCATCATGTATCTGATGGAGATGGTTCTGGAGAGAAAGAAAACAGCAGCTATAAGAAAGCACATACCCTAGGCTAATCTCTCACTAATTTATGTTTTCATCTTTCAAGTAAATCCATAACCCCTAACAGCAGTGTCCAGTCAAGTAGGAAGTCAATGGGCATGGTAAAAGGGTGTGCCACTGACACAAATCACATAACCTGCCAAAAGGGGCGAACATGCCCAAAAAGAGGACATGTCTGCTCAAAAAATTAGAAGACCAGCCTGGCATGTCAGGCTGCCTGCCAATCATGCAGCTGGCCAACTAAGGGCATACTATGCAGACAGCACCCTGAGCTTGGCATAAATGCATCTAATGATGCGCTCACTCAACGCTTTCTAAGGACTGTCCCCTAGCACTCGCTGGTCCACTTGTCTCCTTACCTTCTTACTAGCAGGCAGAAGCTCCTGGTATATGGTCCGGGACAGAGAAAAGCTGTATGTAGTGAGTGTAGAAGAAAGGGAACATGCCACCGTGTTAGAGAGACCAAAGTCAGCATTACCACAAGCATGAATTCATGACCCTATAGTGTTAACACCACCATCTAGCCCCCCTGGGCCCCTCATGCCTCCATAAATATAGCAAAATCCTACTATATTCAAGCCTGAAGCTGTAACTCTGCATGCTGTTAGACTCATAAAAACAAGCAGTCTGCTGACATCATTAGAAGTGGTGGCCTGATCCAATCACAGTGCTTCCCCATAGGATTGGCTGAGACTGACAAAGAGGCAGATCAGGGTCAGAGCCAGCATGATTCAAACACAGCCCTGGCCAATCAGCATCTCCTTATATAGATGAATTTAATTAATGAATCTCTATGAGGAAAGTTCAGTGTCTACATGCAGAGGGAGGAGACACTGAATGTTTGGATGCATTTTAGGCAGCCATGACCCAGGAAGGATCTCTAACAGTCACCTAAGGAGTGGCCAGTGAAGTTATCACTAGGATGTAATGTAAACACAGGATTTTCTCTGAAAAGACCATGCTTACAGCAAACAGCCTGATGGTAATGATTCTACTCACCAGAACAAATTCAATAAGCTGTAGTTGTTCTGGTGACTATAGTGTCCCTTTAACTATATTCATTGTCAGCTAGTCCACACAAGTTTACATCCCTCTTAAGTTTCCATATTAAGTAAGAGTATGTGAAAAGTAGTTAGGGTTGCCACCTTTCTTGGAAAAACAATTTGCATAATTAAATATGTATGGGTGACATCACATGATGTAAATCACAAGGAGTGACATAAGAGAAAATGCTGTAAAATCACCAAAAAACTATTTAGTTTAAATCTGCTGAAAAGATGGATTCCTCCCAGTGCCCCCATATGTCGATTACTCCAGTCCTCAGTGTTCCTATATATCAGTGTCTCAGTGCCCCATGTCTCCCAGTGTCCCAAGTGTCGTGTCCCCAGGCCTCCTTTTTTGCCTTCCCTCTGTATCAGTGTCTCAATGCCCTATGTCTCCCTGTGTCCCCATGTATCCCGGGGTCCCCATGTCACTAGGACACTAGGAAGACGGGGAGACCTGGGGACACGGGGAGACCTAGAGACACGGAGACACCAGTGACACTGGGAGACTAGGGGACTCTGGCTGGGACACATGGGGACAATGGGAAAATAGGGGACACTTGAAGACATGGGGACACAGACACCAGGGACAAAGATACTAGAGACACTGGCTGGGGGACATGGGGACATTGAGACATGGGGGCACTGGGAGACATGGGGACACAGACACCAGGGCCACAGACACTAAGGACACTAGCTTGGTGACATTGTGACACTTGAGGCACTGAGAGACATGGAGGCACTAGGAGACATGGGGACAGTGAGACACTGGCAGATTGGGGGCACTGGGAGACTAGGGGTCACTGGAAGACTAGAGGCACTGAGACACCAGGAACACTGGCTGGGAGACATGGGGACACTGTTGCATAGTAATTTCCATTTATACTGAGAAAAATACCAGCATTTATATTGCCAGTATCACTGCAATATTGGCACCAGCCAGGCAGCCTCAAATACTGGCTGTGCCAATAAAATAAAAGCCAGGTGGAATCCCTAAGAGTAGTGTGTGAAAAAAATGTAAAAAAAAAAAAATTTTTTAAATCAATGGGCCTATTCCATGGGCCTGGGCCTGGAGCTGCAGCTCCATCAGCCCCTATGTTAATCCGGCCCTGGCTGCACAGACAGCTACTGCAAGCACCAATCTCCTGAACTGCAAACCCACGAATTCACCAACTCCCAAACTGGAGACACACGAATAGCTGCTAGCAGACGAACAGGAAAAGCCCCCAAACGGCTTACACTCCTGGCAATCAGTCTCTAACAGCATCCAGTAAATCCTCCCCCCCAATAATGAGACGACACTTCACTTTGAGGGTTAAGCAGGAACTGATTTACTGGGGCTAACTGCCCGGCTTTTATGCAGGTCTCCCACCTGGTGGACACTCCCCTAGGGGACCAAATGGGAGACTGGGACACAAAGGGTAAAAGGACTAATCACAGACTTACACATTTCAACCATCCCACAATGCATCACAATCCCCCCTCTTTGCTCTGGAGATAATTGAGAAGTAATTCAATGATCTCCAAAGACAGAGGCAAAACTCCATTAACAACATGGCAGAAAACAAACAGTAAAAGACATAAAATTACCTACAGTTACATTCAGTACATAAAACATATACGTTCTACATATCCCCAGATAGCTCAGGTCTGAGCGCACATTATTAAGCGAATGGCGCTCAGACCACACGAATACAGTTTAATCGCCATGGAGCCAAAGTCTTTACACAGTCAGTTTCATGCGAATGGGCTCCATGGGATTCCTATCTGGGGCACAACACACTCAAACAAATCTACCGAACACCCGGCAGAAAAGCACGAATAAGTCTTTTCTGCAGGAAAAAAAGATGTATTTTAACATGGGGCCAGAGTCCAAAGGCAGCATGCGAGCAACCAGGCTTCTCCAGTGTGTAGTGGCGAGGTTGGTTTCGCCACAAATGTGTACATCTACTTCTTGTGAAAGGAGATAAATAATTAATCTAAGAATAAACAGACATCTCATCCCCCCCCTGCACAAAGTGATAAATAAAATAAAGGACAACTTCCTAATGGACAAACTGACAGCGCAGGTGCGTCATACCACTGCCTCCTTTATCAACGTGTGGCAACCATGGGAGGACTTCCTAACAAAAATACCCGTAACCCGTAAACCCACACACAGGGATCTGAGCGGAACACAGGAACCTCCGCACGGGGCCAGTGATCCCGGTGCCCCCCCTTCCTCTCCCGCATCCCATGCCTTTCTTCTTTTGCCCTTCACCCCATTCTAAACAAAACAGCAGTTCAGAATGGAGCGAACCACTAGATGGGCACACCAAGACAGAAGTTCCCCAACAACTGGAACACAGTGCGGCAGTCCAACAAGACTCTAAAGTAGATGACTCCACGAAATGTATCACCATAGGCCACTTTATACGTCAATGTATAAGATTAGCAGCAAACACAATTATGGCAAACCGTTCTGTATACCTGATATGTGTGCAACAGATATGCAACGCTACATTCTTGAACTCAAAAATAAAGAAGTATAAAAAAATAAACAGACATCTGGGTTTTATTTTTTTTATTTTTTTATTCTTTATTTTTGTGCGCATATAGGCTTAACAGACTTGCTTGTGGTACCCCAAAGGTATTCCACTCGCTTATATCAATGGCATTTGTTACAGTGGGGCATACAGAGACATGTGCACATTTTTATATTTTAAGTGAAGTTAAGTACTGAAAATACATGAGTAATAGTAAAATATGCGTCTAACAGGTACCTTAGACGTGACATTGCCGTGAGGGTTTTATTTTTTTTAAGGAAAATATTACAAACATTAAAGGATTACTTTAACCGTATTTTGTTATTTGTGTTTATAGAGCATTATTGGGCACACGTCACTCCCCTTACTTTTTGTGAAGAAACATTGAAAATAAAGATTTTTAAAAAAACTTACCTTGAATCCAGTGTCGAGCCATGTTCATCACATTGGTTCCCTCTCTGAGGTCCATTCAAATGCTTCTAATAGAGAAACATTGTTGGACTTTGGTTGCATGTTCAATGCGCCGGGCATGCGCCAGTCAACTTCTTCTGACAAAGAAGCATTGAATCCAATACTTCTCTACGAGTAGTGGATGCTCAGCATTTATAAGCAGCAAGATGAGCCGAGTGACCCACCCACCTCCCAATCCCGACGTAACAGAAGAGTGTAAGGAGGTAGGAATGCACGAAGGGTGGGGTAGATATTTAACAGAGCAAGTGGAGTAAAAGAAGGTAGGGAGGGCTTCACATTGCAGGCGCTTTCATAGCAAAGAAACTTATTAAGAGGGCTTAGTGAAGGTAAGTTTCTATTCCATGGTTTCATTCTTTTTTTTGTTATGTTAATATTATCACAATAAAATGAAGTTCTCAGTTGGAATAAAACAGCAAGAAATAAGTTGCGGGTGTTAAAATGTTCAATGATTTTTTTATAATTGTGGTTTACTAATTCCCTGCAAAGCGTATTTACTATACTCAGTGCAAGAATTTTTAGATACACAGGCGAAGATGCATTTTGCAGCCCAGTCCACCACCCCATCCCCAAAAAAATCTGTAACTTAATCCCACTCTTGAATTTCTTACTTTTTTCCTTTGTGTTTTACACTCCTCCGTGTGCATCTTACGTCCCTCCATCCCTTTTATGTGTCTCTTACTCCCCTTCAATCCCTTTATGTGTCTCTTGTTCCCTGCCACTTTGTGTATCTCTTTATTCACCCCAACCCCTTTGTGTGTCTCTTTCTCCACCCCAGCCCCTTTGTGTCTCTTTCCCTCCTCCAGCTGCAATGTGTCTCTCCCCTTCACCACCCCTTTATGTCTCTTTCTCCCTTTAGCCCCTTATGTGTAGCTCTTTCTCCCCTTCCCCTCTGTGTGTCACTTCTCCCAGCACCTTGTCTCTTTCTCCACACATTCCCTCTGTGTCTCTTTGTCATTGTCCCTAGCCCTTCATGGTGTCTCCCCAGCCCATGTCTGTCTCTTTTTCCCCTTCCCCAGCCCCTGTCTGCCTCTTTTCACCCTTCCCCAGCCCCTCTGTGTCTTTTTGTACTCCCTAGACCCTCTGTGTCTCTTTCCTTCTCCCTAGCCTCTTTTGTGGGTCTCTTTCTCCCCTTCCCAGCCCCATTTGTGTCTCTTCCCCCCCACAGCAGATTATCTTTTCTCCCCAGCCTCTCTTTGTGTGTGTCTTTGTGTGTGTCCCAATCCCTCCATGTTTCTTATTCTTATTCCCTCCATTCCATGTGTCTAATTTCCTCCCCTAGCCACATGTGTGTCATTCCCCTAGTCCCCCCATAAGTCTCATTCCCCTTGCCCCATACCATGTATCTCATTCCCCTTGCCTGTCACGTGTCTTATTCCCTCAGTCCCCATGTGTTTTATTCCCCTGACCCTCACATGTGTCTCATACCCTAAGCCCCCCAATGTGTCTTATTCCCCCAGCCCACCTCCCTGCATGTGTCTCATTTCCTCCCTCCCAGTGTGTCTTACACCCTTTCCCCTTCCCTCCATGTCTCTCCTCCCCTTACTTCTCTGTAGCGTGGCCAAGCTGCGGACTGGGAGAGAGGAGTTTCAGGAACCTCTTCCAGGTCTGACAGGAAGCAGTTCGGCACTTCCTGCACACACTTCCTGTCAAACCAGGGTATAGGTTTCTGACGCTTCTCTCCCCTGGGCCACGCTACACAGAAGTGACTGGCTGGAGAGGAGCGCTGTTCTGTGCGCTCCTCTCCTGCTGGTCAGCCAGGTCGTTGTCAGGGATCTTACCTGATGTGGAGTACGGTATGCAGAGATATACGCTCACCCTTGCAAATAAACACAGACCAAGGTGACCAGATAAGAAACCACCTGGCCTGTGGGTCTGTGCACGGAGGCTGTGCAGGTTTTAGCTCCAAGTCACAGTGCAGGCAAGGACACAAGCAGGAGGATTGTCGAGGAGAAGCCAAAGTCAGAGGATGCCAGAGGTCAGGATAAATGAGGGTAAGCCAAAGTCAGAGGATGCCAGAGGTCAGGATAAATGAGGGTAAGCCAAAGTCAGAGGATGCCAGAGGTCAGGATAAATGAGGGTAAGCCAAAGTCAGAGGATGCCAGAGGTCAGGATAAATGAGGGTAAGCCAAGGTCAGAGGATGCCAGAGGTCAGGATAAATGAAGATAAGCCAAGGTCCGGAGCCGGCTGGAGAACACTGGATCAAGAACACAAATACAGGAACCAGAGTCAATGAATTGACAAAGTTCCCAGGCCGAGGCAGTGCTATTATACCCAGCTAATGATGATCTGCTACAAGTGGGCTAGATAGACAGGAGCAGCCACGGGTAAAGTCCAGCCCCCAGTGCTGGAGGCAAAGGCAAGGATAAACATAAGGCAAAAATAATAACTGAAGTGTTGCCCAGAGGCAAGATGGCAAGACTAGGACACAGATGGACCACAGTTCAAATCCCCTGTTGGGCACTTCTGGGGTGACCATGTCTGGCCATCTGGATGTTACAGTGCAAACTGTGTCAGTTGTACACCCCCCAGGGCCGGTGCACCTCACGGTGGCCACATGTGCTGGCTTATGGTAGCTAAGGCACTGACTATATTGTGTCAATAGTCCAATATGTTGGTAATAAAAAGTACTATACTAGCCACTGAGAACTAGTTCGTGTATATTCAAATATTCACAGTGGCCACTTCATTAGGCACCATCAGCTCTTAAAAGCAGTACTGTCATTTTTGGGGTCTGTATATTTTGCAAATATGGCTGAAGGTAACATGCCCACTTGTACTGCAGCAAATGAGGTGAGGGAAAGATAGATAGATCTATTCATTTCAAGAAAAAATACTTGGGCGTTGTGAATTTGAATAATACCACTAAAATTAATAGTTTCTAAGAGATATCAGGCATCTGCAAAAGGACCTGTTTTGTTTTTAAACAGAGTGCCTTTTCGGTTCACATTAAATGTGCAATTTCTGCATTTAAAACTGTGAGCTGGGGCACTAAAAATGACACATGAAGCAAATTAACACACTTATGCTATGATCGAACATCCCAATGTAGCTATTTGCAACTGTGACCCTCCACACACTTCAGGGGGCACAGAACATTACAAAAGGAAAATTCACAACCTTATGGGCCATATTTTGCGTTTTTCCCAATTAAGAATTTGGGTAAAAGAAAATAACAGCATATTGTCATAAACAATGAGGGGCTGTTATCCGGGGAGGAAAAGGAATAGAATGTGGAGCTATCTTGCTGTGAACTGCACATGACATTTATTTAAAAAGTATAAGAGAACTTATTCATTGTTTTCCACGAACAAGACAGGCACACAGGTAAAAAAAAAAAAAAAAAATATGAATAACTATACACATCACCATTTATTTATAACATTTTGGATCATCATGCTCAGCTAAGAGTTGTAGCAATTTATA